CCCTAACTTTCCTATCACCTTGCCATCATACATTTATGTCCCAAAGGACCAGAGACATCATATATTTATTCAGTGTTTATTTAGCACCTAATGGGTAGCAAGAGCTGTAATAGATGACAGGAATAAAAGGATGGGTGTCTAGGACAAATAAATTGCTTTACCAAAATTTTAGCACTCTCTTCTCATTTCTTTCTAGAAAACTTTACATCTCTGCTTTTCTGAACATCATTAATATATTTTACATTAGCCTTAGCCTATGCCCTAGGAAAAAGTCCTACAAGAGGGCAATAACCAAAGAACAGGAGTCTTCTAAGAAATAACTTTACTATCATTGCTGGGCAGTGCATGTACCAGAGATTTATTTAGGAGCATCTTTGGGGAAGCAAGCAGATTGCAGGAGAGTAGGGAGTTAACAATTGATCTTACAATTAGGTTTGTGTTGGCAGCATATTAATTTTATCTAGATTCTGCATTTGACTTTGTTTTGGGAAAGAGGGAGAGAAGATGGAGAATATTGGGGAAAACTGAAGATATCCCCAGGTGACCCCTTGGTGCTGGCATTGTTGGTAAGACTGTGGTGTTCTACTGTTTCTATAGCTGAGTGTCTTATAAGCTGAGAGAGCCACTTTGCAGACTTAAGGAAAAGCAGTTTCTATAGCAACATTCAAACCAATTGAAGGATGACTAGATAATCCTTTCTTTTAACCAAGGAAGCAGAGATGGAAATTTATTAAAGGTATATTTCATATACTCTGAATAATACATATTCAGGGTAAGTATATTCCTTTCATGTCATGTCATACATCTAATTTAAATAATAGAATATTAAGTACTAATGTATCTCAAGGCTTCATTAGTTTTCCAAGATATATTTAGACTGCTAGATCATTAGCATCATGATTAAGGATATGTATGTGGAACCTTTCTGCCTATATTTGTATCCTGGCTTGGATGCTTATTATTCTCTCAATCCTAGTTTATTGACCTGTTCCACAGTTTCTTATCTTTAAAATGGAAATTAACATAATATCTATCCATAGGGATTTTGTATGCCTTAAAGAAATGTATAAGCAGCTTAGAACAGTGCCTGGTACATAACAGTTTAATAAATATTAACTATTAAAATTAGCTAGTTTTCCAGAGACCAAACTGCTTTCTCTTTTCACAGATATAATTGGAATTTATAGTACATATAAATAGATACAAGTAAATTCAATTAATGTGTTTTGGCCACCAACTTTACACAAAGTATCATACTTGACACAGTAATGAATATGAGTACTATATCATTTCTGCCCTTAAGTCGTTTATTACCCAGTGGGCAAAGGGGAAGGAGCTATACATTCAACCATTTATAACCTAGATTCCAGGGACAGATAGGCTTAATAGAGGGTCATAGTCTCACTCTCTTTCCTCATCTCCAGATAATCTAGCATACTTTTTGTTTCTGGAATATACCAAATTTATTCCTGCCTCCCCCCCCCCGCGCCCCAGTTCTTTTGCTGGATTGTTCTAAGTTCTTCAAAGGGCCTGTTCCTTCTGGTTATTCAGGTCTCAGCTCATGTTGCCTCTTCAGAGAGGCCTTCCCTTGAAATCCTTTGAAAAGTTGGTTCCTCCTGGTCATTTTATTTTCTTTTCTTAAAATTTGTTTCTTTATTTTGAGAGAGAGGGAGAGGGAGAATCCCAATCAGGTTCTACAGTCAGCACAGAGCTTGATGTGAGGTTCAAACTCACAAACTGTGAGATCGTGACCTGAGCAGAAATCAAAAAAGTTGGATGCTCAACCAACTGAGCTTCCCAGGCACTTCTCCTGGTCATTTTCTATCAGAGAACTCTGATTTTCTTATTCCTTTCATTTTAACAGTTATGGTTATTGACTTTAATTAATTTGTTTGATTTACTGTCTCGTTGACTAGACCAAAGTTTCATGATGGAAAGAACTATTTCTGTTTTACTCACAGGTTTGTCCTCAGTGTCTTTCACCCAATCTGGTATCCATTAGGCACTTGAATGAGTGAATGAATGAATGAATGAGTGAATGAATGTAGTGAATGGGAACGTAGATGAGATGTTAATAGTTTTGACTAGGAATTCCACAGAATTTTTAAGAGAAAGATGGAAAATGTAGGATAGCACTGCAGGCTTCAAGAACATCATGAGCAAAGACATAGAAGATTTTTATGTTCCAATGTGCTTTTTATGGATAATCTGTCTTCTGACCTTTAATATATAATTGCAAATGTCAGGTTTCAAGTTTCCTCTGTATCCTCAGAAGCTACACTTTCTTACCTATCTCCTGATATCATATTTCTTTTCCCTTCACAGCCCTGTCTTTCCAATCTTGTTATCCATCCACTTAAAGAAACACACAGAAGCAGGAGATTTTGCTAAAACATTCACACCCACGCTCAAATTATGCATTCACCAGGGACTGCATAGATAGTGCAATCATGTTTATGCAGCTGAGAGCAAGAAAAGATCAGGTGACTGGTGGAGATCACTTAGCTAAGAGCTATGGGCTTCCATTAACTGTGATAACCACAGACTAATTTCACTGCTGAACGAGGGCTGTAAAATAATTAGGAAAAATGTGTGCCAGAATGCCAGTGCATATTTCTCCTAAATTAATACAGCCTTGTCAAATAGGTTATATTAAAAACAGACACTGTATGATACAAGATCATTGATTGGCTTAATTAATAAGAATCAACAGGCAGAGTCAGGGCTTGCATTAACCTCAGCAGCAGTTGGGGATTTGGGGAAGGTAACTGAGGAAGAAATATTTGAGGGAGAATAAATCTGTGCTTACCAAATATCTTCTGAAATGGAGTCTGGCTGTGCACCGAAGCAGCTGCTGTGATCTCTACATGGGTCTTTCTCCCAAAGGATTTTCCCTGGGAGGACCCACTAGGGTGGCATTCCAGAACAAGGTGAGGAGACTGCCTTTGGAGAGACAGATGTATGATTCAAAGCCACAAGGACTGACTGGTGGAGATGAATCAATAAAATAGTAAACTTCAAGATTTTCTAATTCCACTATCAGTAAGGACTCCAGAAATCAAAACACAGGGATACAGCAATAATGTGCAAAAAGGCGAAGACTTAGAAGTGAGTGACCTTGTTCACACTGTTAAGCAATACAGGAATCTGTTTATAGAATTCCGGATTGGGTGGCTTATCTAGCCCCAGTTTAAACTCTGGTGCGCTGTTAGCTGGAAAGTTCTGTATTCCATCTGTGGCGGTGTTAGAGACTCTTACTTCCTAGATCAGGGAGAAACTTGCTCTGGTTTGAGTGATATTCTAGGAAATCTTGAGTTATTTCAATTGCATTCATTTTCGGATTGCCAGATTTAGCAAATAAAAATAGGAGATGTTCAATTAAATTTGAATTTTTGAGAAACATGCAGTATTTGGGACAAAGTTATTCCTAAGAAATGTTTTTTTCTGAAATCCAAATTTAACTGGGTGTTCTGCACCCAGTTTTACCTGGCAACCATCCATTGTTTTAATTCACTTTATTTTTAAGTGGACTGTCTTCTGCATTTGCAGTGAGGAAGGAGACTGAAATATCTTAAGAAAAAAAAATCAGCATACCTGTACCTAGTATCTTTTGGATTAACTGTACCTGTACCTAGCATCTTTTGGATTAACTGGTGGGAATATAAAAATGAAGAAGAATAATTTCCTGTTCTTAAAGAGAGACAGAAATCAAATAATACAATCCTGTAAATTGTTTCATGTGTGCTATGCTGGGATTATGTTTAAGATAAAATGAGGTCACAAAGGAAGGAGTGACCAAAATAGTTTAGTATTTCTGTCCTAGCTAAGGAATAAGAAACATCTCATATTAATGATATGTTCTGTGGTCTTCTCTTACCACCAGTTTGTCTTCACAAAGATTAGTTCTTTTTTTTTTTTTTAAGGTTTATTTATTTTTTAGAGAGAGAGAGAGAGGACAAGTGGAGATTAGTTCTTAATAGAATATAGGAGTGGGGCACTGACTGAGCCTAGCTGAGCTTCCGACTTTGGCTCAGGTCGTGATCTCAGGGTTTTTGGGTTCTCGCCCCTCATCGGGCTCACTGCTGTCAGCACAGAGCCTCCTTCAGATCCTCTGTCCCCTTCTCTCTGTCCCTCTCTGGCTTCTGCTGTCTCAAAAATAAATAAAACATTAAAAGATATAAACAGTATAGGAAAATGGATTAACTTGTGAAACAACTTTTAGGGAATAATAATAATAACAATCTATTTTCAATGATCTTCTATAGAACATTTTAGAAAGGAATCTTAAAATTTTGTTGTTTGGAAGAAATGACTAAATTATTGCAGCCAATTAGATAATTGTAGCACTTATCCAACACTGAGGCCACTTAATATAGTATATGGATCACCATTGAGACAAAATGGGTAGCTCTGACATGAACTGATTTTGAAGCTGCTAAAAGATATTTCATGTTATTTAAGAAGTATTTGCAAGAGGGACGCCTGGGTGGCTCAGTTGGTTAAGTGTCCGCCTTCGGCTCAGGTCATGATCTCCTGGTTCGTGGTTGGAGACCCGCATCAGGCTCTGTTCTGACACAGCCTGGAGCCTGCTTCGGATTCTGTGTCTCCCTCTCTTTCTCTGCCCTTCCCCCACTCATATTCTGTCTCTCAAGAATGAATAGACATTAAAAATTTTTTTAAAAAAAGAAGTATATGCAAGAAAGTAAATCAACATGGGTTTTTTTTTTTTCGTATTCTTGATGTTTAATTATTTGACTCTTGACTTTTAAAGAATTTTTTGGAGACTTTATCTTGCACCATCATGACCCTTGAGACCAACTTTTCTTGTCCCACAGAACCCAAAGTGTGCATATTTTAAAACGTTGTCATTTAAGATTGACTAACTGTTGTTGATTATATTTAAAATTGGCAAGGCTGAGACATAGTTGTACCTCAACATATGGGAAGTACCTAGTTTATATTAACTGCTCAGTAAATGTTTGTTGACTGAATATTGGTTGAATAAATATCTCTTACATAGCAATTTTATTTTTAGAAATATAAGTGAAGGAAACAATGATGTGACAAAGATTTGGCAATAAGAGTAAGTACAGAATCTTTATAATAGTTTAAAAAGAGGGAGAAAACTAAATAAAAAGTGTTAAATTACTGACAAACAAAATTATGGCTACATTATTCAGTGAACTGTTAAGTAGTCATTAAAATTCTTATGCAGATGTATATTTATTGAGATATAGAAACACTCAGAAAGCAGTAAAGGAAAAAACATTGTACTACGAGCAGGTACTCTGGTGCCCTGTGTCTGTGTGTGTCTGTGTGTACTTGTGTCTGTTTATGTGTATGGGAAAAAAAGCCTAGAAGAGTCTACATCAAGTATTAAAATGGATCATCTCTGAATGAGGATTCTTGGTGATATTTTTCTGCACCAATTTCTTTTTCCTCTCTTTCTGGGAGTCCAATTACATGCTAGATCTGTTGATACTGTCCTACAGGTTAGAAGTTCTATTTATTTTTTCTACCTTTTTCTTTCTGTATAGATTGTATACTTTTTATTGCTCTACCTTAAGTTTCTTTGGCTTTTTTCCTCTTTAATTTCCATTCTGTTATTGAGTCCATCCAATGACTTCTTCTAATTTAAGTTATTGTATTTCTCAGTTTTAAAATCTCCATTGAGTTCTATAATTTGCTTTTAAGAATTTTCATCTTTCCATTAATTTCGATAATGTTCACCTTTACCTCATGGAGGATTGTTATAATAGCTACTTTAAAGTCTCTGGTAATTCCAACATGTGGGTATCTCAGGCTTGTTATCTGTTGCTTATTCTCTTGGGTATTGGTTAGATAATTTTGGTTCTTTGTATGTTGAATAATTTTGGATTGTGTCCTGGATGTTTTGAATATTATGTTGGTAGACTCTGAGTCCTGTTAATTATTCTGCAGAATGTTATTTGTTTGTTTAAGTGAGGAATCAGCCTTGTTATGTTCAGACTACAAGTGCTAATTCTCTTTCTGAGGGCGAATGTCAGTTCAGTTTTCAAACCTTTTCCATGCTTTTTGGTTCAGCCTGGCATATGTGCCTCTTGGGGGTTAGTCTTGAACCTGGGAAGTGGTTTATATCTAGTTCACTTCTTGAGGTCTTTGTTATTTTCTTTGAGTCTGTACTGTGTGTATGTGGCTTGGAGGCAAGCACAGGACTTATGTCACTTCATACACAGAATTAGAGGAATTCCTTTCGCCAACTCTTTCCTCTCTGGGATTTATCCCATGTTTTCTGAATTCCAGGGGTGTCATTTCCCAGTACCTCTGGCCACAAAGATTTATTTCCCTCAGATTTTAGCTTTTTCTACTGTTACAAAGTTCTTCATGACTGGAGGCTCCCACTTTGCAGGCCATGATTTAAATCCTGATTTTAGTCCTTGATCCACCTGCTGTCTATGTCTGAATCTGAGTCTATCTATAGATACATAGATACAGATATAGTTTTCTTAATATATATATTTTTTCATTTTTTACTTTTCATATCCCTCAAGTCATGAATTTTGCATTCTTTTCAGAATTTTTAGTTGTAATCACTGGAAAAGAGAATCTGTATCTGCTTATCTCCACCTTAGCTGTCACCAGAAGTTTCCTCATGTTTTGTTTTTCCTTAAGTATTTATTTATTTTCTAAGTCTTCTACCAGAATACATATTATCTGTAAGGGTGAATTTGTTTTCTTAAAAAAAATAAAGGAAAAATTACTGTAGGGGATACCATGAGTTTTTGATAAATATTGTTATGACATAGTTTTTTTCAATTATTAGATAACTAAATGTGAGAATGATAATAATCAGTTTGGGTGCAAGTGTGGGACAATAGGCAATCTCCTAATATGACAATGGTATGACAACATTACTATGTTGTTTTTCATGGTCACTATGGCTATCTTGATAAATTTAAAATGTACATTTCCCTTGACCTAGATGTTCAAATGTCGGGAGTTTATTCTGTAGAAACACACAAATACATCATGCAAGTACAGGTGTGTTCTTTGTAGCATCATTATATAACTCAAAACTGGAAAGAATCTAAACTCTCATCAATAAGGCAATAGTTTAATTAATATATTATAGTACCTGCATACAATAAACTCCTATGTAGCTCCTAAAAAGAACATGACATTTGGGTTTATTTTTAGAAAAAGATATCTACAGTTTATGTTTGAGTGAACACGTGGATTACAGAAGATTACACTTATATTAAATTGCATTTGCATTTATATATGTTTTTAGAAAGAAAACACAATCATTATGTAAGAATACACATGAAACTTGTAAGAATAATTTTCTCTGGAGATTGGACTATTAGGGAACAAGTATGCTATACATTGTCTCTATTGCTTGAAGTTTTTGGAAATTAACATATATTAATATAATTTTTTAAAATAAAAAAATTAAAAATGATCTAGAAAGGGATTTCAGGCCTCTTGAGAAGTTTAGTTTTTGTTTTGTCTACAACTGATAATTAGATAATCTGCTAACCCTGGGCAGGTGGTGTGATGGTACAGATATGACTTTGCTTTAGGTTGCTGTCCTGGCAATTACATAGTACTTCTCTGGACAGTAATCAAGAATACCTCTGGACAACCAATTAGACAGAGATGGTATTTCTCAAGGAACACTGACACTGAAACAGTGAACACATAGATACATATGTAAAAGCTTGCCTTAGGGCATATTTGAAGATTCAGCTACAGAGCAAGAAAGACTAGAGTGACCAGTCCTGGCTACACTATGGAAATCAGGAGTAGGGCTTATGTGCAACTGATTCCCAACTGCCGAGTTGACATGTCAGCAGAGTAGCTGTTTCTTATCAAGTACTACGTGTTTGAATCAGGACTTCTGCAGAATCATGAAATGAAGGGTTTCATAGATCAAAGTTCAGGGCTAAAGTGAGCTTTTGGGAGAGTATCTCTGAATTCTAGTGTATTAAATGTCCAAACTCACATTGGTACTTTGTCACGTACTGTCTTAAAGGATTTGTAAAATTATTTCGTGCATCTGAGAGTCATTTCCAAACCATATGTTTTTTAAGGAGTAACTCCTTACTGTGCTTTATTATTCATAAGGACTTAAACTACTTAATGGTACTTTAATTTTATTTTCTTGTTTATCATCTGTTTCTTCCACTACAATGTTTGCTATATGATGGACAGATTTATATGACAAATATTTCTCTTGTTCTGTATGATAGGCCAAGTATTGAAATGGTGTCTGACCCAGAGTAAGGACTTAATAAATATTATTGATTAAAGAGTGATGCGTGAAGGTAAGACACACAGTTCCTACTTCTTTTCTTTCTTCCTACCTCACTTTCCTCTATTTCAGTTCCTAGCACATTGTTAAGACTTCAACATCAACCAAATGGAGGATGTGAAAATCAAGAGAGGATTTAAAAGTGCCCTTCTTATCTATATTTGAAGCACTCTGGGCTTGGCTAAGATTCTTCACTGTTGGCAACATGTGTAGAGTGGGATTTAAAACATGAATACTATAATATTCATCTTCCTACTTGAAACCTTACAGCGAGTTTGTTTCTTCCCAAACAGGGATGAAAATTAATATATTTCAACTTGCCCTGTTCCAAATTCAGTCAATTCCTTATATTACTATTTTCATGTCATCTCAAGTATTTTATTTCACATTTTAATATATCTGAAATATGAATGTCTTTTACTATCATTGGCATCTTAGCAGTGTATCATAGTTAATTTGTTTGATATATCATACAAATGAAAGATCTTAGGTTTTGTGGAATATGATATTTGGGTTTCTCATGCTTCCATTCTAGCATTTTTGAGAATTAACGGGAATTAGTACTCTAGAGAGATTTATAAACAAAAGAACTGAATTCAGTTCTGCTAATTATGTGTGTGAAAATGGGCTGGAACGTTGCCCTTCTGGGTCTCTCTCTGTTCTGTAGAATGGCATTGGAAGAAAGCATGGATCTAATATTTTAGTGAAGGATTATATGTTGCTAGAAACAAACTATAACTTAAGGGTTAAAGAAATGACCAGAAAGAATCATGAGTAGGCATGGAAATTAAGGGCAGAAAGTAGAGTTTGAACTCAAGAATTTCTAATATCCTGGAAATGGAAAATGGTCAGGATCTGAAGAAAGTATTTTACCCCCTCTTTTCCTATCCTTCTCTCATTCTACATGTGCTCTCTTCATAAATTTTCTATTTTCTTTTTCTCCAAGCCATGGATCCTGTCCTCTGGGTTGATATGCACATAATCAAAGATGGCTTCTCTAGCTTTTAGTTTAACTCCAGAAGCTAATTAGCTTGTTTGAGGCTCAAGTCTACTCTAATTTCCCACCTTAGTTCAAGAATATGTACTTTATTAGGGAAGAGTCATTTATTACAAACATGGCTGAAAGGTCTACTCCAATGTTTGGTGGGAATAAATTCTCAGAGAAGAGGGAACAAAAGCTAGGCAGGTTCTGCAGTATCTAAGTTCTATGGTAGCTATACAGACTTTCTGTCTTCTGGCTGTAAAATTGGATGAACTACAGTGTTGGGAGAAATTGCCTTTTTAACATAATCCAGAACTTTTCTGCTAAAGAATGATCTTGGTGAGGGATTTGAGGAATGAAAAGCCTTTCATTAATATTGTCTCACTAATGAAAATCTTATAATGAAAATCTGATAACTCCTGGATTTTTTCTTATTTTGTAAAAGGTCCTATGAATGTGTGACTGTCTTTCAAATCTGACAGAAGCCAGAGAGGAAAGGGCTTTAAAAAACACATTATAACTCCCAATTTTTAAAATTGAAATAACTAGCCAAACAAAAATTATATATCATTGTTAGATATTATTCTATCATCAGAAAGAAAGGAACTATTGAATCAAGCATCTTTCTGTAGTTTGTATTTATTGTCATATTTTTGTTGAGTGAAACACTGTAATCTTTTTAATGGTCCACTTACAGGTGGGGACACTGTGTTTGTGTGTGTGTGTGTGTGTGTGTGTGTGTGTGTGTATGTGTTAGAGAAAGACAGGGAGAGAAGAAAAAGTAGGAGGAGGGTGAGAAGGTGGAGAAAGGAGAGTAGAGGAGGAGGAGGAGAGTAACCAGAGCAAGGGAGCTTAGGCATTTATTGTTGTTTTTCTGCATTATTTCTATTAGATACTTGGGAAAAACCATGGTCCACCCTCATTTTTCCAGGATGGTAAATTTCTTATGTTTGGGGCAAGCAGAAAAACCACAGTGACTAAATGTTGAGATGACCTGGGACAATTTTTCACTGACCTAAGAGATCCTGGAATGAAAACTAACACTACTTGCATATATGCATTATACCAGATTCTTTCCATATAGCACTTTTAATACTCTTAACAGCTTGGCCAATTATTATTATCCCCAAGTCATTTATACAGAAAATAGCAGCTTAGAAATGGATAACTTGAGCTAGATTACATAGCTAGCATGCAGTGATGCCAGGATTTGAACATGCACATGTCTGATACCAGAGGATGAGTTCTAGTTTCAGTGCATGAGTTCTACTTTCAGCACTTGTGAATTTGCTCTGAGATCTTAGGCGAGTCCCTTATGATTTCTGTGCTTCATTTTCATCAGGCATAATGTCTGTCAAATAAAAATGGCTCAAAAATATTTGTTGAATTGAATTGGATACTCATTTACATACAAGATTATTGTGAGTGTTGCTGGGAATAATCTGTGTATAGAGCAGAGGGATTAAGAGTTTGGGCTTCTGGTCTATCTACATCACTCTGGGTTTATTTAATTTTTTAAGACTTGATTTTCTCAATGACAGAAGGAAGGATAGTAAGAAGACTGAGTCATTAGATCATTACAATGATTAGAAAACATTTTAAGAATATTTAAATTGCTCTACAAATTTCAGCTGTTGACTATTACAAATGAAATTTTAAGTGGGCAAGGACTTGAACACTTTGAGTTTTGACAAAACAAGTTTGGACTTGGTTTCATTCCTTGCTCTGGTGGGTGGTGGTGGGATTATCCCATTTCAGGGTCTTTGAGACACCCAAAACTCACATTTCCCTCTAGCAACAGCTGCTTCTAGGCTTGTAAACAGTCTAAAGGCAAAAAGATAAGAATTTCAGGCACCATTAAAATCCATGTAGTAGAAACTTTCTAGGATACAACAAATACATTTAATTTTCTGGTTGTCCTTACCTAAACACAGTTCAGTAACCCTAAATGTCTATGACTTCCTTTCACTGAGACTCCGCAGTCTGGAATTTGGTTGATCCAGGAAGAAAACAACAGGGAGAAAATTAGGGACAAATATACTCTGATGATGAGATTTTGAAGGGTTCAGAGTCTGTGCATATATTTGCTTATATTTCACATCTACTGATATCTTTTAATGTAGAAATGTGACTAATTCCCTCCTACATGCTACAATTTGCAAAGAATTAGGTATTTTGTTACTTTTCTTTAATAGATTACCATAAAATATGTAATGGAAGAAAGATTTGTCCACTCTTTAGGTAGTTATATAAACTGCTTTAGATTTTTACTTAGATTTGGAAGTTTCATCCTATGAAATTATCTTTTGGTCATTTGCTTTTTTTTTTTTTTTAATAAACTAATATTCCTTACCACTACTTGTTGGTAGACATCAGTCTTGAAGACCCAACTAATGCTCCGTCATAAAATTTATTTCGAAATTCCCCTCCAAAAATTGGTATGTATTTAGGGGGATATTCAAAAATTGCTGGTAATTTATGAATCGCCTTGTTGGACAGGCAAGAATTAACCTTTTCCTCTATTATAAGACTATAAATCTAATGGAGTGAAACCATAGCAGACTTTGACTGAAAGAGCTTATCAGACTCTGATGCAACTATAAATAATATGATATCAAGACATGCATCCTGAAGAATTTAAAGAAAATGTAATACATTTTTTATTTTCTCTATTTAATATTAGTATAGCTCACCTTGAGACTCTTACCCTTCATTTTTCCTATGGACAGTGGGTAAACATTCTGGACTTCAGTATTTAAAAGTGAAAGATTGTGTGATTTAAATTTTATGAGAAGAGATTATATTTCAGATGTGCTTTCCGAGGAGTCAGACAGCAGCATTTTTGTAAAAGTCCTCTTCAGTCTGAGAGCTGAAGGTGGAGCCATTGTGCTATGTCCAAGAGGCATTCTCAGTGTTAACTCTTACAAACTTGTTTATGTAATTGTAGAAAGGACATAGTCTAACAATAACAACAACAAAAGTGGGTTTTGGGGGGATTTGTTTTTGTTTGTTTGTTCGTTTTGTTTTTAACTCCTAGACTGCCATCTTGGATAGTTTATGGAGGAGACTGGATTATTGGAATTTCATAGGATATGGAAAAACCCGCCAAAAGCCTTGGAGTTTGGAGTTTGAGGTTTTTGCAATGACTATGGTTTAGACAATTTCTGGAGGATGGGAGGAAGTTGTCATCTTTCATTTACATCTTTGTGGGATTCCTCTGGAAATGTCCCTACGGGCCTCAGTTTTATCATTTGTAAAATGAATGGGTTCTCTTAGCTATTTTCTCTGCTCTTTTTCCCTGAAGAGTCTAAGGTGTTTTTAAAGTGCTTCCTTTCATCCAGATCAGCTTGCCCTCTGAGGAAATGTAGCTGCCCTACGTGTGAGGGCAAGGAAAGGAGAGAGTAAAAAAGGTACTACCTGTCAAATCCCTAGCGTGCTCAGGGCTTCACAGGGTTGTCTCATTTTCTAATAAGAACCCCATGAAGTAGCTATTACTAGCACTTTTTCACAGATAGAGGAGCTCAAGGTCACTAACATTAAGTAATTTATACAATTATACATTGAAGAAGTGACAGGACAGTGTTTTGGACCGAGCCCAATTTGATTCCAATTTTGAAAGTATTTCCAATGTAACCAAAGCTTTGTATCCACCTGCAATAGAAAATAAGGAAAGTAGTATTTTTTTCTTGAAATGAATACATAGAGTTTAAATTAAAAATACATAGCATGATCTTAAATTGTGTGGAAATATTATTTTTCATCTATTAGTATGTCAAAGATAATTAGCACATTGTTTTGACAAATGTGTTACAGAAGAGGAACTCATCTATGGCTGGACTTTCCCTGTATTTCACACATTTGGGAGAAATTTAGACATTTGTAATAGTAGCTATAAACATCTTTGTTTTACTTGGTCTTTTATCAAGCTCTTCTTTTAGATGTGTCACTGTTTGACATATCTTCCCCAATTTGAGATTCTGGAAGGATTTGCAGATGGATTCTTCAAACACTTTTATATTTCATAAAAACCT